CTTTCCTGAGACAGCCGCCACATCAGTGCAGCTAGGAAACACACTCACTACCTTAGAAGCCGGCTCGAGTCAGAAAATACTCCCAGGAATGCAAATGCTGTGTGTGGTTCAGAAAGGACAGAGGCACAGGAGCTTGGAACTGAAGGGGCAGGCTACTGTGACCCTTGACCTCTGCCTTGACACGGGGACTTTAGAGGGGCTACAAGGAGTCTGTCTTCAGGCTTCAGAAACTTTTCTAAGCTCTAAAAAACAGATGGGTGCCTATGACTCACCCATTTCAAACTACTCTATTTCAACTGGAGGATCCACTGGGAGCCACAAACCTCCAACCCTTCCCCTCGATTCCAGCCCCCATAAACTGCACACCCTCCTGGGCAGCCATGAGCACTGGGTCTCCACCCACAGAGGAGGGAATGCAACAGGCTCTGTGCTTGACCGGAGAGAAGGGGGACGGGTGGCTTTGAGGGTGGCCTTCAGCACCCAACCTGGACCAGCTGGGCACAGGGGCATCACTGGATGACGGTCAGGAAGCCTGGGCCCTCGCCTGTCCACCAAACAGCACTCTGTGGCCTACCTAGAGGGTAGTCAAGGACTCGGATCCCCAGCTCGCCACGGACAGGTGAGTACACACACCAAGGGTCACCAAGGCGCAGAGACTCTACCTACACCTGCTGTCGAAGCGCGGCAGGGTGACGGTCGCCGGGGGCGCTCTCTGACGTCCCCAGACCCGTGAGCCCTGTCCGCGCAGACAGGTGCCAGCCCGTGCCCGCGGCGGGGGGGCCCGGGCAGTCACCGCACACGCGCGGGAAAGGGCCAGCACTCCCGCCCAGGCCGCGCGGCCCACTGACCCGAAGTCCTGGTCCATAGACTTGAAGAAGAATTTGTAGGCGTGCACCGGCCGGTTGCTGAGCACGTTCTTGAAGTCCGCCAGCGTGACGCGCTCCGGAGCCACGGGCAGCTTGACCAGGTACGGCGTCTCTTCCTCGTCCATGTGGTAGATGATCTTGGTCTCCGCCATGGCGCGGCAGCGGCGACGCGGAACCCGCGCAGCGTCAGGGCCCGGCTCACCTCTCGGACGCGGGGCGCCCTCCCAAACCGCCGGCCCGCGCCCCGCCCGGCCGCCCCGCGGCCCCTGTGCGCGCCCGCCCCGCCCGGTCCCGGCTCGCACCCGTTCCCCGCCTGTTGTCCCGCGGCCCGCGGCCGCCCATCCGCTGCCAGCCCCGGAGCGGGCGCGAGGAAAAGCAGCTCCGAGGGTTACTGCCGCCCACCGCCCCCTCGGGCTGCTCCAAGAACCGCCTGGTGGGGTTGAGCCCGCGGCCACCGGAGGGCGCGCCAGAGCCGGTGACGTCACTGGACGCCCGCAGCGCGAGCGGGGCGGGGCTACGCACGCGCAGGGCGGGTTCGGGGCGGGGCGGGGCTGCGGCTGGCTCACGGGCGGGGTAACCGGGACGGCACCCGGCGGGTTCTGGAATCCTAGCTGGTTTGCAGTACGACAGGGCAGAACTCTGAGTTCTCCTCTCGCCAGGAGCCGAAAGCCCTACCCTGCGCTCGCGACAGATTCCCAATAGGCAGGAATGCGTGCGGCGTCTGGGTCTGGGATGTGTATGCAAATGGGCACACTCAGCCCCAGGAAGGCACAGGAACCCTGAAGAGGTTGCACCCTTTGAGCCAATAAGATCTGCCAGGGAGCAGAGGAGAGTCGTCCTACTGGGGTGGTCTGGTTCTCCCGACCCAATCCCAGTGCCCGGAATCCGGAGGCGCTGGCCACTCTGGAGACTTCCTGTCGCTCCACAAGAAACTGAAGATACCTGTGTCTAGCCCTAGACAGCGAGAACCTTACTGCGCCCCGTGTTAATGCCGAACTCAGTTCTTCTGCCTATTGCCTTATTGGATTTCCCAAGAAACTTAAATGAGTAAATACTAGTGGGGACACAGATGTGTGCACAGAGATGTCCAGGCGAGGCCCAGGCTGCGACTGAAGCCAAAGGGATTTTTGCCTTGGACATTGTAGAAAAAAAAAAAGGTGTCCTCCCCAGGCCCAGGAAGACGGCGATGCCCCTCTCATCCTGTAGAGTTGAGCCACTTACTGCCTTGCTAGCCTGAAGCTACTTTAGGCCTACTCCAAGATGGCCTAAATTCCTTCGCTAGCCAGTAATAAGAGTAGAATAATGCATAGGATACTGGTCAGTGATGGAGACAAGGGGTGCCTATTGTAACCTGGGACCATTTACAGACACAAGGAAAGACTCCGCCGCTGGGATGCATACTAAAGGCCTCTGAAGTCAGCCTAGGCAGAGTCCTTGGGAGTAATCCCTTACTCCACAGGGGCCTGCTACCCTGGGAACCCTTTTCCCAGCAGCTGGTCCTCTTCTTTTTTTTTTAAATACTTATTTATTTATTATGTATACAATATTCTGTCTGTGTATATGCTTGCAGGCCAGAAAAGGGCACCAGATCTCAATACAGATGGTTGTGAGCCACCATGTGGTTGCTGGGAATTGAACTCAGGACCTTTGGAAGAGCAGGCAATGCTCTTAACCACTGAGCCATCTCTCCAGCCCCTGGTCCTCTTCTTTGAATCTCTACAGAAGTAACCTGAAGGAGCCAGGCAAGATGGCTTCAGCGGGTCTGCTCAAGGGAGAAGGAAGACAGTTCTATTCTAGGGTGCACCTCAGGCTAGACACACGATACTGCCAATCTATTTATTGGTCAGTAGCACTCATAATCAAGGGTCCCCACTGCCCAGCTGCTCTTGTTCCCACCTGACACCCCAAATTATAGGAGGAACTAGAAGCCAGAGGCCTGGTAGGAGTCATGGTACTGATGTTGATGCTGATAGGGGCAGGTTGGGTCACTGTGGAAGAGGTGGGTGTGAGGCCAGAACCTGTGCCATTATAGGAGGGGTCTTCTCTAGTGGCGGTGTGACCACTGATGGGACCAGAGGCCACTAGCGTGAGGTATTTCCTCAAGCCACACCCCAACAGGTCACTGAGGTCCTTGTGGGTGATTGCCATCCCTTCCTGTCCTCACTGTTCTTGGGAGAGCATTGGAGGGGAGCAAGAGTTAATAGGAACAAAAAGATGGCTCAGCTACTTAAGGTGCCCACTGCTAAGTCTGATGACTTGAGTGTGAACCCCAGGACCCACATAGTGTAGGCTGAAGACCACCTTAGGAAGGAGAGGATAGATTTCTGCGAGTCATCCTCTGACCCCCATGTTCATACATACCATTCATCTATCTACAAACATTCACACAATGTAGATGAAAAGAAACGATAAAGCAGGATATGACAACATGTGCTTTAATCCAGTCCCAGCACTAGGGAAGCAGACACCGATGGATCTCTGTGAGTTCCAGACCAGGCTATATAGTGAGACCTTGTCTCAAAACAAACATCTGGGCCTCCATGAGCACTGCGCACATGTGGTACACAGACAGACATACAAGCAAGCAAAACACCTATATACATAAAATAATAAATTTTTAAAAATTTAAGATATATATATTATATATATAATAATAATAAATATAATTTATTTTTATTTTATGTGCAATGGTGTTTTGACTTCATGTATGTCTGTGTAAGGGTATTGGGTACACTGGAACTGGAGTTACAGAAAGTTATGAACTGCCACGTGGGTGCTGGGAATTGAACCTGGGTCCTCTGGAAGAGCAGTTGTTGTTCCTAAATGCTGAGCCAAATGTATACAGCATTCCTTCCATGTATGCCTGCAGGCCAGAAGAGGGCACCAGACCCCATTACAAATGGTTGCGAACCACCATATGGTTGCTGGGAATTGAACTCAGGCCCTTTGGAAGAACAAACAGGCAATGCTCTTAACCTCTGAGCCATCTCTCCAGCCCCTAGCTTTAAATTTTTTAATTTTTTAAAAAGATTGAGGGGGCACTCGGGAGGCAGAGGCAGGCGGATCTCTGTGAGTTCGAGACCAGCCTGGTCTACAGAGCTAATTCCAGGACAGGCTCCAAAGCCACAGAGAAACCCTGTCTCGAAAAACCAAAAAAAAAAAAAAATTGAGGGGGCAGCTGGAAAGGTGACTCAGAGGTTAAGAGCACTGGCTTCTCTTCCAGAGGTCCCGAGTTCAATTCCTAGCAACCACATGGTGGCTCACAAACATCTATAATGAGATCTGGCGCCCTCTTCTGGCCTGCAGACATGTGTGCAGACAGAGCACTGGGTACGAAAGAAAGAAAGAAAGAAAGAAAGAGAAATTTTTATGAGAGAGAGAGAGAGAGGAAAGGATCCTGTGTCCTCTCTTAGCTGCTTTTCTTTTTTTCTTCTTTATAGATTTATTTATTTATTAAGTATACAGTGGTCTGCCTGCCTGCATGCCTGCAGGCTAGAAGAGGGAACAAGATCTCATTACAGATGGTTGTGAGTCACCTTGTGGTTGCTGGGAATTGAACTCAGGAACTTTGGAAGAGCAGGCAGTGCTCTTAACCTCTGAGTCATCTCTCCAGCCCTCTTAGCTGCTTTTCTACCTCTGCTTCTACTGAGGTCCCACAGCCAGTGTCCAGTCATGATTAGCCCCAGGAGACCAGTACCTGAAAACCAATACCTGCTCCTGTTGGCCAAGCGCTGCCTCTTGGGGCTCTTTCTGCCCAAATCTCCGCAGACCTGTATCCTTGGAGAGCCTGCCTGTCTATCTTTGTTCTTCTTTTTACTCCATCTTAGCATCTGCTTCTCAAAGGACTGGGCCAACACCATTTCCTTCTATGTCCTATCTCCCCCTCTGCCATTGTATACTCCCCTGTCTTTCCTGTCCACACAGGACTTGGAAAAGGGATTGAAAGTCCTTCGCCATGAAAAATGGGTTCTTGTGTCACAGGATATCTGATCCTAGGAGAACTTAGTCATAGAGCTTCCACTCAAGGGGGTAGGGAAGGATAGCAGAACTCATGTGAATGTTATGAGCGCCCTGGGGGTTCCCAAGGCCCGGATATGTCCTCCCTGAACAGAAGGGGAACAGCAGGGCCAAGACTGAGAATCAGATGTGTTCTTTATTATGACATGAAAACTTCCCCAGTAGGCGCTGCTTGGTGTGGCAGCGCAGGCCACTCGGAACCTTCTCCCCCATCTTCATCCAAAGCAGAGGACAAGTAGAGCCCCAGCAAAGGGGGATGTGGAGCCCAAGAGCCACACGGTACTCAGTAACTGCTGGTGAGACTCTTGGAAGGGATCTGAAGCAGAACAGGGGCAATGGGCCAGCTCCAAGTGGAGGGCCCGTGACTCAGAACATGTGACAGCAGGGCTCTGAGTGATGCATAGGCGTAGTGCAGTCCAGAAAGTTCCTAGGGGCTCCCCAAGACAATGGTTAACATGTTGAACAGTGACTAGGAGTCTAAATGTCTTCCTGACCCTAGCAGGAAGAAGCCACGAGAGACTGTGCATTTAGCGGACGTTGTGTCAAAGTTGGGAGTACAGGTGACTGAAAGGCAGCAACCATACTATACCAGCATCTCGAGGGAACCCACAGTTGCTCACCAAGGTGAGGGTGATCAGCAACCATACTATACCAGCGTCTCCAGGAAACCCACAGTTGCGCACCAAGGTGAGGGTGATCAGCAACCATACTATACCAGCGTCTCGAGGGAACCCACAGTTGTGCACCAAGGTGAGGGTGATTCTTGGAAGAACAAAGTGCAGGCAGCTGCTCGGCCAAATTCAGGCCAAGTTTCTACGAAAGCGGGACCAGCCGCTGAGAAGAAGCCGGGAGTGCCACAGGAGGGTCAGGGAGACATCCTTTGGTATAGAGCTGCTGGCCCAGCCAGAAGCTCAGGATCCTTTTATTTGCAGTACTCCTTCCTGAACTCTGGAAGCCAAGAAAATGGCTAGTATCTGCTCTCTGTTCCTTAGCCCCAGTGGGAAAGTCAGGGAAGATATTTGGCGTGACTTCCCAAGGCCTTCTCAGAGAAGATAGCAGGAGTCTCCTATCTACAGGGTCCTGTAGAGTCATGTGTGGGATGGGGTGTTGGGTTCTCCCTTAACTGCTCACCTTTATCCAGATCCACATTCTTGGCAGGCAGGGGACTGTGGGCCAGCTCAGCCCTCTCCTTCAGGATGTTGTTTTTGTAATCTGGTTAGAAGAAAAGAGTTAAGTCCCACCCAAAAATGTACTTCCCCCGGACCCTTGTGGCCCTCACTCCTACCTAGCTGGATGTCCTCAGTCCTATAAGGGGCCTGGTCCCTTGTGGCCGCAGCAAACTCCATCATGTTCACATCCTTCCTAAAGGGAGATGGCAGGTTAGGAGGCCAGGGCAGGGCAGGTCCGGGAGAAGGCTTGGGCAAGCAAACTCACCCCTTGGATTTCCCAGCATTTTTGTCCGAGGTCTCGCATCCTGTGAAGAGAGGCGTATTTAGTCAGTCTCACTATCCTCCCTTAACCTGGGCCCCTCTGTTCCAAGGGTCCCACCTCACCTCCGCGGTGACGATGGCGTGTCGCCAAGACTACAGTGATGAGCAGCAAGATGAAGAGCAGCAGGGTGGCCAACACATAGCCCAATTGCTGGAAGAAGTGTGCGTGGCTCTCTGGGACAATGACGTTGATGACGCTGTGGCCTCGGGATCTACTTACCAGTGTGGGATCTACAGATAAGTAGCAAGCATCAGAAATCTTATGTATGGCATGCTGTGCGTGGTGGTGCATGCCTTCAATCCCAGCATTCAGGTGACAGAGGCAGGCGGATTTCTGTGAGCTCGAGACCAGCCTGGTCTACAAGAGCTAGTTCTAGGACAGGCTCCAAAGCTACAGAGAAACCCTATCTCAAAACACCAAAAAAAAAAAAAAAAAAAAAAAGCAGAGAGAGAGAGAGAGAAAGGAGAAAGAAACTCTCCGCGGTACCCTCAGCACCCTAGGTCGGTCACACTAGGGCCCCTTCTTGGGGCCAGCAGGCTACAACACACCTGGGCTAGGAGCAGTGTTGTGGCCAGACCCATTACCGGGAGAGGCAGGAGCAGGTGGCTCAAAGGCAGCCTCAGTGACCTGTAGGTGGAAGACTCTGCGCTCGTGCAGGCCGCAGTAGTGGTGGTGCAGGTGGCAAGAATAGATGCCCTCATCAGCCGGCTCGAGCGCATCTATGCGTAGGGAGAAGTCGCCGCGTGCAAAAGCGTCGGCGTTTACTGCCACGCGATCACGCAGGAAGGATGGTCCGTAGGCGCGGCGCTCGCCAGATGCGTACAGGTCAAGCAGGCGGTCAGCTCGGTCGTGCGACACCCCAGGCAGCTGTCGGTCCCAATGCACCACCTGCTGCGCCTCCTCTAAGTGGCGGTCCGTCCACAAGTGCGCACGGTTCACGCAAGTCAGCAGTGCCGGCGCGCCGCGGGTCACCACCATCACTTCCTTCTCGCCGTCCCAGTACGCGCGAGCTAACAGGGCTGAGGATGCATTGAGAGAGGCAGCCAGATCACAGCCCGGTAGAGGTGAGGAAGGGGAAAGACCGGCTGCGGCAGGGATGGGAGTAGCAAAGGAGGGTGAGGGGCGTACTCACGATCGTCGGTGACCTCGAGGCGCACGGCCAAGCTCTCGTAGAGGTGACAGTAGTGGTGGTGCAAGTTGCAGGTATACACCCCTTCGTCTCCCTCCTCCACAGCTGCTCCGCAGAAGATAACCTCAGCGTGTGGGACCCATCCTCCTCCATAGTCCCTCCCCTAAAATGGTTCTGTCCCCTTCATGGCCCCGCCCCTTCGAGTTTCCACCCTTTCACAGGCCTCGCCTCGTCAAAGGTATGTGTCCGCCCCCCTGCCAAGGTTTCAACTCTTGCCAAAGTTTCAGCCCCACCACGGTTCCACAGCGTACCACGGATGAGCAGTGAGAAGTTGCCGTCGTGGAAGGCAGAAGGCGACAGCAGCAGGCGGCCGTGGTCGTGCGGCTCGTACACACGCTGTTCACCCGCCGAGTACATATCCACGAGTCGGCGCCCTTGGCTGCCCGGGACGCCGCTGAGGTCCCAGTGGACCACGCGCTGGCGGTCGTGCAGCCGGTCTTGGGTCCACACCATGCGCGGGCTCTGGCAGCGCAGCACCGCCTGGGTCCCAGCTGCCCAGCTCACCACGGACTCGGACACCACAGAGCTGCTGGCTGCTGCGGTACCTGAGGGCCCTTGTCAGGAAGGAGGAGTCAGCGGCAGAATGGGTTGGGTTAGAAGGGGACCCTAAAGGGGCCTGGCCCAGAGCTGGGTAGGGGATACTAACCTGAGTACAGAAGGACAGCGGGGCCTGTAGGAGAGGAATAAAGCTGTCGGCATTCTTCGCCTTTGATCCCAGGACCCACAAGCTGGAAGGCCACTTGACTTGGGGCCTCCTGGCATTGTGTTGCCATGATGCCCACTTAACCAGTGCAGGTTACACCCTTAGTGTCACATTCCTGGCTATATTGACAGCTTTGCTAAGTGAGAAATCGGACACCTGGCCGTGAGCTGCAGGGAACTGCTCTAGCATGGCACCGGGACAACCAGCAGTAATATCTGCGTCTGTGCCGGACCTTTAGGACCCAGTCAGACTTAGTCATCCATAGTCCTGTCCTACACCCCTTCCAGGCGGTACTGCGGTGCCAGTCTGGACCCCTGCTACAGTCCCAACAGGTGACACAGGTAGCAAATCCCGATCTGCCACCACTGGCCCCAGAGATTGCTGTGGGAAGTGGCGTAAGAGCCAAAGTTCTAGGGAAAATGTGCCTGGTCAGCAGGCCAGAGTGGGCAGGCCTGGGGGCCCTGAGGAAGGGGTTGGAGCAGACTCTGTTAGTCCCTTAGCTGTCAGCCCCACTAACTCCCCTCCCCACATCTGGGAGGACTGCGCCCTGAGCAGCTGACCCTGAAGTCACACAGCGGGCGCAGGAAGCACCCTTGGCTACATCCTCCCCATTTGGGCCCTCTGGGATTTCTGTGAGAGTACATGAAGGCTTCATGAATTGAAGGTGAACTGCTGTTTTGAGGCACCCAGCCCAGTCTCTTTGCTTTGATGAGTGCTCCCTACTCCTCCCAGCCTCAACACAGACAGCTCATCCACTCACTGTCCCACGCCCAGTCCCACCCTCTCTCACACTCACTCTGAAGAAGCACCAGTTTCCACAGCAAGACACAGGACAGTCGTTCCATGGCGCCTGCAGGGACCGCGCTGTGCTTTGTCTTACTCGGCTCTAAGTCTCCAGAAAAACAGCCGACCCCCTCCCTGCCAGCACCCGCTGACATCACGGAGCTGTGGGCCGGGTCTGTGTCCCGCCCACTGCGCCGCTCTACTGCTTGGCCTCCCCCAACCTCGGCTGGCCTGTAGTGTGGCAGCCACCCCGTCCAGGCCCAGAAGGTGGGAGGGTCCGAGTAGATGCTCTCGGCCAGTCGCTGGTCAGTCCTGGGGAGGGGCAGATGAAGAGGCCTGAGTGTGAGGATTCCTGAGGCCATGTGGGTGCCAAGCATCTGGTAAACTTTCTGAACTGCAGCAGAACTCGTGTCTGGATGTGCATGGTCTGCATCCTCTCCCATGCCAATAGCCAGGCCAGGGAACCCGGGCTGTTTTCTCCATTCTTATATTCTCCCTGCCAGATCAGGCGGTTCTTCCAGCTACAATTCGGATGAGGGTGATTTTACTATGCCCTTCCTTGGCACCATGGTGGGCTACCTGGGGACAACACGATGGCACTATGGGTACTGTTATCTTTTAGGATCGAGAACGACTAATCATCCAGGCAGGCACAGTTGCCCACACCTTTAATTCTAGCACTTGGGAGGCAGAGGCAGGTGGATCTCTATGAGTTTGAAGCCAACCTGGTCCTCCTAGTGAATTCCAGAGCAATCATGGCTACACACAGTGAGACCCTGTCTCAAACAAAACGAAGAACAGCCAACCAGGGAGATGACTGGTAGGCATCTGGACACCGAGGACAGAGTGCCCGTGTGGTCAGATTTTCCTCATGGCCTGACGATGGCGGCTGTCCACATTCATAAGGCAAACCCAGTCCTGAAACTAGGACTGGATTACTATGATCTGGGAAACCTCCACTTGGAGGAAAGGGGAGTGGAACGCTCCCAACAGAAAGCATAAATTTGAAACCCTGGGAAAACAAAGTCATATAAACAAATGGGAAATAACAGAGCAGCACTGTGTACCAGTCCACTCCTACTAGTTAAGCAAACCTCAGAACAAGAAAGGAAAAGAATCCAAAAGACCTCAGAAGCCCTTAAGCAGGCTAAGCCACTTCTTTAGATAGTAATCGGTACAGGCCCTATCCCTGGGGGCTGGGGTGGGAACCCCAAGTCCTCAGACAAGCCAGAACCTCAGCCTAGCTGGCTCTTGGAGAGGAGGGGGAAACAGGGAGGACCAGTAGTGAGGTTATAGGAAGTCTCTCAGGACTTAAGGGAGCCACCCAGGATCTGGGCCAGGCAGAGCACGAAGTTGGCCCCCAGCTCTTCCCTGGGCCTTTTATTCTGGAAAAACAAGTCCCACCCAGCAGGCCATCTCCCAATCCTCCTGTTCTGGCCTTCCCTTCTGTTTTTCTAAGTGGTGTTGATGTCTGTCTCTACCCCACACTCTGGGGGATTGACTTCTGCTGTATCTGTCTCCCCTCCCCACTCTCCCATGGTTGTCCCAGGCTGTCCTGTTTCTCTCCACGGAGGCAGAGTATTCAGGAATTGATGGAAGGACACAGAGGTAGCCCAGGCCTAGGAGGAGTCTGGGGCACCTGTTCTACACCTCGGCTCAGATCTTCCCTGTGCAGACTCCTGGCCTCAGGGCTCCACTTGAGGTTTGGGGAACTCTCAAACTACAAATCCCAATAGCTTACTTCCAGGTCACAGGCCAGATGCTGGTATCTATGGGAGCCTTGACCCCGCCCCCCCTCGAGACACACACGGGAACAGATGACCCTTGGCCAACACCTTCTTCCCCCATCCTACCCTCTACTGTAGGCCAGAGGAGCCAAGATGGACAGCAGAAGTCTGTTTGCCCTCCTCCCAGCCCCCACCACCACATCTTTAAGCAGGAAATAACCACAGACAAGAACTGGAGCCAAGCAGGCAGCCTGGGCTGCTAACCAAGCCACCTGCCCCTCCCACAGCCAAAGGCCTGAGCCACTTCAGCTCCTTCCCAGTCTGTACTGTGGAGCCCCCAGCTCCCTGCCCCTTGCTTCCCAGTCCCACCTAGAATCTTTGTCCCTCTAGAAAAAGAACAGACCAGGACAAAGCAAAACCACGGACCTCATAGTACTTTGGCCAAGCCTCAGCCAACCCAGAACCCTAGACCTATCTCCCTTTCTTTTAGGAGTGTGGCCAGCCAAGGGGTATCAGCCAGCCCACTAGGCACAAAGACTAAGAATCTGATGCTGGCTCCTATTCTTGGTGACTCGGACATTCCAGGCAGCCTGGCTCATTGGGAAGAAAAACCACAGAACCAGAGATTCAGTCAGGCTCGGCTCCCCCGCCACAGGCTTCTTGTGGTCCCGAGGAATATATTCAGACCAGACACAGGCACAAACCGAGAGCTGCTTATGCATCCACTGTTGCTCGTCATAAAGACCCACATCGGTCTTCATTTATCCAGCAGTTACTGCACACCCACCGTGTGCCAAGCACTCAAGATTCAGTGCTGAACTAGATGGATGTACCAGTCTGCCCTGTGGACAGACCAGCACACTTATCTTTTATAATCTATTAATTAGTTAATTAATTGATTAATCAATTTAAGACATAGCCCTGGCTGCCATGGAACTCACTATATAAACCAGACTAGACCTGAACCTACAGAGATCCACCTGCCTCTGCACACCAAGTGCTAGGATGATACATACTGCACACCTCCAGTTTATGATCATTTACAAATATTTATATGTGGAGGCTGGAGAGATGGCTCAGCGGTTAAGAGCACTGGATGTTCTTCCAGAGGTCTGAGTTCAATTCCCAGCAACCACATGGTGGCTCACAACCATCTGTAATGAGATATGGCGCCATCTTCTGGCCTGCAGGCATACTGCAGACCAAACACTATATACATAATAAATACATCTAAAAATTATGTATTTTTTTGTGTATGGGTATTTCACCTGCACATGACTGTGTACTACCTGAAGTGCACTCTGAGGCCAGAAGAGGGCATCAGATCCTCTGGAACTGGAGCTACAGGTAGTAGCCACCTTTAGGGGCTGGGAATTAAACCTGGGTCCTCTGTAAGAGCAACCAGGTCTCTTAACCACTAGGTCATCTCTCCAGCCCCTTATGATCACTTCTAAATGACAGAGGTGGGATGGGCATGGTGGCACATGCCTCGTATCACAGCGTTCAAGAGGTGAGGCAGGAGGATCACCATCAGTAAGAACTTGTTTTAAAATAAATGTAACAAAAACAGGTCTGGGCCATCTTACTAGATTGGCCTGATGGCACACAAAATTACTAAAGTGGTTTTTAGAACTGCCTCAGACAGACAAGACGTGGAGAAAACGGTCCCTATCAAATCCTCACAGTGAGTAAAAGTCCAAGAATTCCCAAGACTATGGCCGTTTGGGGTCTGCACCATGGAGGCCTCTGTGTAAGTGTGAGTGTGAGCAGCACAGTCAGATGCACACTAGATTAGGCTGCATAACATTAAAAAGTGAAAGAATGTCCCGCCAGGCGGTGGTGGCGCACACCTTTAATCCCAGCACTCAGGAGGCAGAGGCAGGTCGATCTCTGAGAATTTGAGCCCAGCTTGGTCTACAAAGCAAGTTCCAGGACAGGCTCCAAAGCTACACAGAGAAACCCTGTCTCCAAAAACTAAAGAAAAAAATGGGAGAATGTCCCTGCTCTAGTGGCAAAGCCACCAGAACAGGTGCAGGGAGCTAGTCCCTCCAATCCAGGAGAACAGCTCCCTAGAACTAAGAATCCCACTGGGCCCAGCAGTGGTGGCACATGCCTTTAATCCCAGCACTCGAGAGGCAGAGACAGGAAGATCTCTGTGACTCTGAGGTCAGCCTGGTCTGCAGAACAAGTTCCAGGACAAGCCCCAAAGCTACAAAGAAACCCTGTCTGCACGGGGTGGGCAACAGAACAAGGCCTAAGGGTGGCCTTTGGGAGCTGAGATAGTCCTAGACCACAGCCAAGACAAAATGTCTTCATTCCTACAGCGTGGAGGAAGCAGATTCTGTAGGCAGTTTAGAAGTGGGCCACCAGTCTTTGGAGATTCTCTGACATCAAGATTTTGAGACTTTTGAGCAGGGCTAGACCATGGAGCTCTGATGTAATAGATGTGACTTTTTACACAGCAGCAAGGGACCAACCCAACTCCATGGTAGCACTGTTCATTTCATAAAGAATGATTTGCCGGTGTCCACAGCCCCTGGTTTCTCAGTAAGGGCTGGGTATGATGTATGATGGGGGCCAACAAGGACAAACTGCTGGGCCAGAAGTCCATCTGGATCTGTGTGGACCCCTCATGTCCAAGAGGTGGGGGATATGGTCCTGGTGCACTCAGACCATAACAACCATCATTCTACCCTCAGCCTGGTGAGAGAGATTTCTGTGAAGCAGTTGAAACCAAGCCCTTGCACATCAAAGCAGGCAGTTCACCACAAACTGTACCCTTGGAATGTGTTCTGAGTTCTGACCCACTTTCTAGAAATAGTCACTTGCATGTCTGTTGGTTCTCCTAGGGTCCAGAGGGTTTGTTCCACTGTGTTTCTTACACCGCAGGCAGAGTGCTCTGTGGACCCCGTTCTAAAGGCCTGGTTATGTCTTTGGGAGGGAATGCCAGTTACTAGGGCTCTGTTATCCTGGAGAGATCCAGAAGCCACTGGGAGAGAATCGACACAGTAAGAACCTGGGACTAGAAAAACGAAACATAGAAATGTTATTTAACAGACCATTATATACTTCTTTGTTGTTATTTTGTTTTGTTTTAATTATTTTTAAAGAGATTTATTTATTATATATATACAGGGTTTAGACATGCAGGGCACCAAATCTCATTATAGACGGTTGTGAGCCACCATGTGGGTGCTGGGCACTATGTGGGTGCTGGGAATTAAACTCAGAACCTCTGGAAGAGCAATCAGTGCTCTTAACCTCCAAGTCATCTCTCCAGCCTCTTGTTTTTTGAGACGGGTTTTTCTCTGTGTAACAGTGCTGGCTGTCCTTTGTAGATCACTGTGTAGATCAGGTTGGCCTCAAACTCACAGAGATCCATCTGCCTCTGCCTCTCAAGTGCTGGCATTAAAGGTGTGTGCAACTGTGCCTGCCTGAG